TTCTATACTTCCTGTATATATTTCACAATTAAAAAAAAATCCCTCATTCCAAAGATAAGCACCTGATCCAGGTCTGAGCAATCAGGAGCACAAAGACTGGTTTAGGCGCCTGACCCAATTTAGGCCAATGAGACACCAGCCCAGAGCTTTTGCCAGAACTATCAGGAAAGATGTGCTCTCTTTCTGTTGGAGCTGTGAAGCTTGTTTGTAAAACACATCCCTTCACTAGCTTGGGAATAAAGCTAGCAGAAGAAAGCAGAGCCAAGACATGGAAAATGACAGATCCCCGACATCATTTGAATACCTTGTTCCAGCCATTCTTGAAGCTAAAATACCTGAGCCTTTTCAACTATGTGAGCCAGTAGATCTTTTTTCCCTCTAGCCAATTTGCATTCAGTTTATATCCTTTTAAGTAAAAAGCATCCTAACTAATTCAGTGGAATAATCAAATAAGGTATTCTCACTACAACAGCCTATGAGATCCTTTTAACACATAAGTGAAACTATGCCCTCCTGCTCAAGACCCTATATAGAACCTCACTTCCCCAAAGGCACTCACAGTAAAGGCCAAAGTCCTCAGGCCTGCCAAGCTCAGCACAATTTGACTCCACCCTTCTCTGCCCTCAGCATAAGATTCTCTGTTGCTCACTCTGCCCCCAGCCACACTGCCTCCAGGCTGTTCCCTGACATATCAGGCACCTGTCTTCAAGCCTCCACTTCAGCTGTTCCCTCCCTCTACCTAGATGCTATTCTCCAGACATCCACCTGCGAACTCCCTCGCCTCATTCAAGTTTGCTCAAATCTGTTTTTCAAGGCTGGGCGCGATGGCTCATGCCTGTAATCCTAGTACTCTGGGAGGCCGAGGCAGGTGGATTGCTCGAGGTCAGGAGTTCGAAACCAGCCTGAGCAAGAGTGAGACCCTGTCTCTACTATAAATAGAAAGATATTAATTGGCCAACTAATATATATATAGAAAAAATTAGCCGGGCATGGTGGTGCATGCCTGTAGTCCCAGTTACTCGGGAGGCTGAGGGAGTTTGAGGTTGCTGCGAGCTAGGCTGATGCCACGGCACTCACTCTAGCCTGGACAACAAATCGAGACCCTGTCTCAAAAAAAAAAAATCTATTTTTCAATAAGGCCCATCTGAATCCCTTTCCCTGTGGCCAGTGATCCTGAACCCTGCCTCCCTGCTCTACTTTTTCTTCCTTCCATAGTATTAATTGCATATTACAGTAATGTACTTACTAAAATGTACCCAATGAGGGCAGGGGTCTTCCGGCTGTTTTATTCATCACAAGTTCCTAGAACAGTGCCTGGCTCAAAGTAAAGGCCCTCAAATATTTGCTGAATGACTAAAAAGAATGACATGAGCCTCAAAAGAGCAGATCTTGGTCTGTATTAATAAAAGGCAATGGGGACTAGAGGGGGAGGAAACGACTCTCACCTCCTGAACCTGACATAAATGGAGTACGGGAGGAAAAGACATCTCTATTGCGAAGAGTTCAGGGAAAGTCTTAAGTGACCTAGGGGTGCAGCAAGAAGGTGAAGAGTTCAGTGAAGAGGTTGAGGATATATGAAGAGAAGTTAAGCACAGAACTTGGCCCGAGAGGGGTTAAAGTGGGTGGGGAACCTGCAGCCTTGGGGCCACACATGGCCTTCTGGATCCCTGAGTGTGGCCTTTTGACTGAATGCAAATTTTACAGAACAAATCCTTTTGTTCCAAGGAGTCTGGATTCAGTTGAGGGACTGCACTGGGTGGTCTGGGGAGCCACATGTGGCCTTAAGGCTACAGGTTCCCCACCCTTAGGCCCAGAGCAATTTGCAGATGAAAGTAAAAAAGAGGAAAGATAGGCCAAGTGATTATTTACACTTCAGATGGTGATGAAAGCTATAGCGATATGAGGCCTGGTGAGCTCAGCTTACATCAGAAGAATGAGTCCTAGCAACCCCTGGCAGACAGAAAGGATCCTCCCATCACACCATGGTTTAAATGATTTGAGAAGTGGGTGATGGAGAGAGTCCATCACATTTGGCCTTTCTCTCCTACCCAAGCACCACAGAGGCTATTCAGAAGCATCAGCTGGATGGAGACACAAGACTACCTACTCATGGCACCAGCCTGGGCCCACAGAAAGCAATTCCCCTCTGCATAATGACCCTGCACTAGGGGCGGCCTGTCACACCTTCATTCCCCTTGCCCAGAACTGACCCTGAATCCCTGTCATCCAGGATCACAACTCCAATGTCCAAAAAGACTAAAAACCAGGCCTCTTTTCAAAGACAGACCACAGCACTCAACTTCCCTACCTGCCCTCCACGCTGCCTAGGCAAGAGAAAGCTGGCCAGAGGGAAGGCTTCCTTCCACTGGTTCTGACTCACCTCTGTTGCTTGCTAGCTTCTCCCTAGAAAAATTTCTTCAGAGTAATGAGAACATATGTGTATGCCAAGATTCAAGGCTGGGCACAGTGGCTCAAGCCTGTAATCCTAGCACTCTGGGAGGCCAAGGCAGGCGGATTGCTCAAGATCAGGAGTTCGAAACCAGCCTGAGCAAGATGGAGACCCTGTCTCTACTATAAATAGAAAGAAATTAATTGGCCAACTAAAAATATATAAAAAATTAGCACAGGCATGGTGGCGCATGCCTGTAGTCCCAGCTATTCAGAAGGCTGAGGCAGAAAGATTGCTTGAGCCCAGGAGTTTGAGGTTGCTGTGAGCTAAGCTGACACCACGGCACTCACTCTAGCCTGGGCAACAAAGCAAGACTCTGTCTCAAAAAAAACAAAAACAAAAACAAAATTCAAGGAAAATGTTACTCCTAGTCAGAGAAAGAAATTACAATGCTTAGCCTCTAAGGAAAAGTGGCTTAGTATAAATGAGGCCCTTGAGAATGGTGTCATTTAGATGCTCCCCACAGCTGTTAGGAGACCTATTAAATATTTCATAATTAATAATAATGTCTTCAGGACTGTCTCTCTCATAGAACTGACCCTGTAAAGGAAACCAAAAGGAATCAGACTTGAGACTGACTTCCTGCCCACTAACCCGATCTTGGTGGTATAGGTCATTTGTCCTCTGAGTACTTATCAGTTAAATGCCCATACTCCCAAGTCAGGTATCATCCAAGAGCAGATCGTTAAGGAAATATTTAAAATAGCTATCTGTAGTAGCCAGCCTCCAAGATGGCCCCAGTGAGCCCCACCTCCTGATACTCACACCTTGGTATTCATACCCTCTTCCCACATTGTACCAGTGTCAGTCTGTGTAACAAGTAGAATATGGCAGAGGTATGTCACTTCAAGATTAGGTTATATAAGGCTGGCTGGAGTCTTGGGCTCTCTTGGATCACCTGCTGTGGGGGAAACCAGTTGCCACATGGGAAGGCCCCATGGAAAGTGGCTAAGGCTTGCCAATGGCCACTGAGTGAGCTTGGAAGTGGTTCCTCCCTGAATCCAGCCTTCAGATGACTGCAGCCCAAGGCAACAGCTAAGTCAGGACCACCCAGGTAAGAAGCTCCCAGATTGTTTGACCCTCAGACACTATTTTTCAGGTGGTAAATGTTAGGGTAATTTGTTACACAGCAATAGATAATGAATTCATTATCCTATACAGAACTGAGAAGGAAAGCAGAAGGTTTAACCTCAGTTCCTATACCACATTCATTTAAGAGCAATTTCTGTCCATAAGAAAGCAAATTAATCATTTAACAATTACTTTTTTGAAAGTCATATGTGAGCAAGGTATCTCCAAGCAACATAAGCCTTCATATAGTCTATAATCTTCTATAAAATAAAGAGAATAATGACAAAGACACACACATAGCTGCTCAATCCACTAGTTTAATTAGCTTTTTAAGTTTTCTTGTTCCTAATGCTTTACACCCCACTCCCTGCTTTCACAGGCCCTCTCTGGAAGGTGCAGTAAGCCCCATCCCCTAGCTATTTTGAGTGCTCAGTGCCTTTCTGACTGTAAGGCCAGCAAATTGTATTTTCTCATACTCATTGTTACTGCATGGTCTCCCATCTAAGGGGGAAAGAAAGGTAGGTGCCTTGACTCCATTAATATTGAGACAAGGAGGAATGCATTTAGCATTTTACTAGGAGGAAATCCTGATCATAAGTGCTGAGGACAATTCTAGTTTGTGCAATTAGTGACTAAGTGGCACCGGGGGCGCTGATACAATCACTGCTCAAGTCCCGGTCGCAGCAGAAATGGCGATGGGGGAGGGGGTACGCCGCCCCTTACCCCTCACTAGACTCTGCTGTCTCTCAAAGCAGCAGGAGGGTTGTGCTGCTCCGAGGGAATCAAGAGCCTCCCTCTGCACAAAGAAGGTCAAAGGGCGAGCTTTCTTTCCATCAACCACAAAACCAGCCTCTGCCAAACCTAAACAGTGTGGTAGGCCGAAAGAGGTGAATGGAGCCCCAGACAGAAAACCACAGCGAGACTCTCCTCCCTCCGCTGGCTGGGGTCTGAGTCAGGTGACTCCTCAGGGCAAACAACAAACCTAAACAAAGATCACTCCCCACATGACAGACTGAGGGGAAGAGAACGGACGACCCTTGCAATAAGACCAAGCTGCCCAGTCCTCCCAGCGCAAAGCCATTGACTCCTGCTTGCTCGCAGTCTCGGAAACTGAAGGAGCTACAAGTTACTCAGCAGCTCAGCCTTCAGGGATGCGCCTGGAGCAACTTGGGACCCCATCCCCGGGCACAGGCGCTGAGCATTGCACGCACGCCCCCGGCCCCAACACGCAGGCGGGACCCCTCCCCACCAGCTGTCACCGGCGCCCGCGATCAGTCACACCCAGAGTAGCCCGTTCCCTCTAGCCGCTCCCCCTGCGGCTGCGACCCCGCGGAGGCGGCACGGGAGACGCTTTTTCCCAAGGCTCTAGGGGCGAGGGCACGCCCGTCCCCCAGAAAGGGGCGCCAGGGTGGGCGCGGCCCCAGGCCCAGGGTGGCTCCCGATCCATCATACCCCTCCCTGGGAACGACATGCGCCTCACCTTGTCACCGAAGCTGCGGCCCATCAGCAGGTCCGGGCTGGGCGTGCTGTCGCCACCCACGGCCTCCTCGCTGCTGGAGCCAGCCAGCGGGTGCGGCATGTCGCGCAGGGAGTGGGGCCCCGTGGACGGCAGGGCCTTGGGGGGCCCGCCCGCCATGGCGCGCTCCTCCGGGGACGCGCGGCTGCCGCTTCCTCCTGCCGCCCGCCGCAGCTGGCTCCCCGCGGCCCCGATCGGCCGCCGATCGGCCAGAGGCCCTGCACCGGCCGGGCTGGCCGCCGCCGCCCCCCGCCGGCGCGTCTCTGCGGGCGCCGTGCTGGGCTGCTCCGCGCCGCGCGCCCGCTCCGCGCCCAGCCCCGCGGGCCGCCAGCAGCTCTGCCGCGGCCCCTGCCGCAGCGCCACGCCGCCACCGCTCGCGGCCGCCCCGCGCTTCGGGGCCGCCGGGGAGGGGGCGGGGACAGGGGAGGGGGAGGGGCGGCTCCGCCCCGCCCCGCGCGGCAGGAAGTGCGCCCTGCGCCCCCCGCGGCCGTCCGGGGTGTCCAGCCGCGCCCGGAGGCGCGGGTGTGCGGAGGCCGCGCGCAGCCCCCAGAGCAAGTGTTTAACGGAAATCAGAGGTGGAAAAAGACGTTGGAGGATCCCATTTCGTTCCACCGCGTTTACCGACGCGCCCGCGGGTAGCCGCGCTTCGGGCTGGGGGCTTTGGGGCCACGCACGTGAGTCAGGGTCTTCTGGCCGCTAAGTCACGCGCAGAAGTTACCCAAAATAGAAGGAATTTCGACGCGTATCCTAAGAATAGCATGGAGGGTTTTGAGGCGCACAGGAGCTAGGGAACATCAGGTGGGAACGTAGAAGGGAATTCAGGGAGGCAGTGTGGGTGTCCTCGGGTTCTCGCCGAGCTGCCCGTGCAGTCTTGCTTCCGCAGCTAAGCCGAGTTTATGTAAGGTTAAACCTCAGAAGAGTAAGCATCCGTAAATAAAGAAAGAAAAAGAGTGCTACAAATGATATATGACTCTTAACTCCCACTTCAGCCAGACTTCTGAAAGAACCATGAGGTTCAAGTTATTTTTCATGCATTCGTGTTGCCTTCCCAGGCCTTTGGCTGAGCTGCAGTCTTCAGCGTGCTTTGCTGGCCTGGTGCAGATCGTCAAAGGGTACTTCCAGCTCTTTGGAGTGTAACCTCACCTCCTTTTTTCACCTTAACTGTCCCTGGAGCTTATGTTTCTAAGGCCAAGTCATCAGAGGGTCGTCAATCCCTTTAGCAAAGTAATGGCTAGAGTGGCTCCTGGCAACGGAGCACATTTTCCCCTACCCATTCCCAATCTCCTTGGGTTTGCCTGGTTCTGCTTGCTAGAAGGTGGTGACAGAGCTTGACGCTGGGATTCCCTAAGGTCTCTCCCACAGTTTTCTCTAGAAACAAGTGGAATGCAGAGTTGAAGCTGACCCAAAGTATCAGTCAAGAGACCGTGAGCTTCAAAGACCTTCCATTATTTCCCCTGGTGTAATTTATAGGGTTGGACCCTTAGTCCTCAAGCTATCATCTTTTATCGCCCCCCACATGAGTCTGCCTGGGCTGGGAAAAATAGGATGTGGAGGACACTGGGAACAATTCTAAATGCTGCATCTACCTCAAAGGAATGCCATGGTCTGGTCCTGTTGGTGTTGGGTAAAATTGTTAAGACTTTTATATTCAAGGGCTATTTACAACTACTACAAACTATCTGTTCTTCTGAATTAGCATTAAAATAAATAACACAGAAATGAGCATCCTATAGGTGTATAGGTTTTTCTTATTGAATGGTGCTATTTATTTTAATTACACCACCACCTTAACATAATGGAGACCTTAGTTTATTGACTCCCTACAGCTTTCTCTTTAGGACACCAAGGAAAAGTGAAAAAAGATCCACATTTGGGGAGGTTGCTTGGTGGATACATGTATTGCCTCAGCGATGGATGCACCGAAGGTCCTGACTTCACCCCAATGCAGTATGTCAGTGTAGCAAAATTGCACTTGTACCCCATGAATATGTACAATAAATAAATAATAAATGTTTTTTTTTTCTTCACAGAATGTTTGGAAAAATAATAAATGTTTAAAAAGGTCCACATTTGAATTCCTGCTTTGTCACTACATGTGGGTGACCATGAGCAGATGAACCTCAACAAACCTGTTTCTAACCTAAGGGGGGGGAGGATGGAGAGCAGGTAATAATACTTAGGAGAGTTAAATAGCATTCTCCATGTCATGTTCCTAGCAAGATGCTGGTGTGGCATAGTTTCTCCCTAAATGTTAATTCCCTTCCTTTCCCTCTCTCTCAGGTTTTCTCTACTAATCTTATAAAATAATAATCACAGAGTTTTCATAATTAAATATGCTGCACTCCAAACTCCTCCGTTTGCTCAATTTGAATCAGACTACCACTTTTCTATGCCACCACCAAAAGAAAGAAAAGAACCAGAGTTCCTAAAAGGCCATATGAAAGAGTTTATTTATTTATTTTCCAATTTCCTGGTTGGTCAGTGGCATCTAGCCACAATGATCCAGTGGGTAGTCATCAAAACTAAAGAAAGTGAACTTCCATGGAAAATATTTTGGTAGAAAGTTTCCAGCATTCAAATTTAGCCCAGGCCTGTCTGTTCATATTCACCATTTCCTGTTGTATTTCAGTGTTCCTTGTGGTAAGAAATTGTCACTGAAATAACTTTAAGTGTCCCAGAGTATATGACTATGCTTCTACTAAAAGTTTTTAAAGCAACATAGTGGAAAGGATGAAGTGTGTGAAGTTTGTGTCAGAGTAGAAGGCTGTGGTGTTTGTTGTAATTTATGGAGAGAAGCTTGGATTTTTAGGGCTAAGCCCTGAGGATGACACTGGATATATGTACATGGGTTTTCGGGGAGGTCCCCAAAGCCATCAGAACTCAAGAACACAGCATGGGGCCTTCTCTATCCATAGGGAATCTTAGGCACTTAGCCTGGCACTTTTTAGGAGACAGGGCCTTGGGCCTCAGAATTTAGTAAGTTTGCCAAACTGGAATCCTATAAACCTCCCCAACAAGCCTATAGTGCTATACATGGGTACCCAGACCTCAGAAACAAAGCAGTCTCAGCGAAGCATTCTCTCATTCTCTCCCTGGTACTGCTTGTGCTTAGGCCTTCTTCATGTTTGTGTTAGCTGCTTATCCTCTTCTGGTCTTTAGTACAATCATAGCTTTATTCTATATGGCATCCCAGGCCCTGCCTCAAAATAACACCACCATTTCTGAAGTGGACTGCTGGTGAAGACAAAGGAGGTTTTCAGAGAGCGTTCAGAGTGACATGTAGCAAGCCACAGAGGGCTGTCTCAAACAAGGCAGGGTCAACTGAAACAGCACAATTCCCAACAGAGACAAAATTGTGTGGACAATTTTTTATTTTTTGAGAGAGGGTCTTGCTCTGTCACTTGGGCTGGAGTCCAGTGGCACAATCACAGCTCATTGTAACCTTAAATTCCTGGGCTCAAACAATCCTTCCACCTCAGCCCCCAAAGCAGCTAAGACTACAGGCACACGCCACCGTGCCTGGCTCATTTTTTTTAATTTTTAAAATTTTTTGTAGGAGTCCACTTGCTCAAGGCTTCTTGGGTGTGGCTCTAGGTGAAATTTTAAAAAAATATATATTTTAAAAAAATTTTTTGTAGAGACAGGGGACTCACTATGTTGCCCAGGCTAGTCTTTTTTTTTTTTAATTACATTATTTTTTAACATTTTTATTTTATTTCTTTTTTTTTTCTTTTCTTTTTGTTAACATGCAAAATGCCTATGCCCAGGCTAGTCTTAAACTCCTGCCCTCAAACAATCCTCCCTCCCTCTTCGGCCTCCCAAAGTGCTGAGGTCACAGGCGTGAACCATCACGCCCAGTCCAAAATTATATGGACAATTTAATTCAGCCAATGATGTCCCAGGAAAGAAGCAAGGTCCACATGAGTCTAAAACCTGAAGAGTTTTGCAAACAAGAAATTGGAACTTACCCCTGAACCAGCAGAGGGGCTTGTAGGTAAATGATAAGATCATTTTCTCTCTCCATATTGAACTCCTAGCCTCCCCAAAGCATGAAGACCCTCATGTAGTGAGTAGTGCAACACAGTCGTGGAGTTGGTGCTGTGAATCTCAAACTTTGGGGTACGTAAGAACCACCTAGGAGCTTGTTAAAATGCACATTTCCAGACCTTGCCCAAGAGGTTCTGTTTCTGGGGTGAGGCCTAGAGTATTTTAAATGTTTAATGTAATTTAATTTAAATTAATTTTTAATTTTTAAAATGTTAACAGCCTCCTAAGTGATGTTTATGCTAATGCTACTCTATATACTGTGAGAAACATTGTTTTCATAGCTCCATCCATTTCTCTAAACCATAAATTGACATTCTAAACCTCCTTTTGTAAATCACACTTGTAAGTGCTTACTTTGGAAAAATTTCCTGTTTACTGGAAACTTACTTAAAAGGCAAATTTCTATTACAAAATTCTATGACAAGGTCTTTTTGCCCCTGAACTTTTATGGTTTTTTTTATTGAGCATCTACCAGGTGCTTAAAATTTAGGAAAAGAGCTCAGATGAACTACACCATCTGTTGATCGCTTCATTTCCTAACTCTGGCTGTGAAGTGGATCACAGTGGAGTGGATATTTTCCAGAGCCCCAAAACTTTAGCCTGCCCTACAGGCTCCAAGTAGCTGGGTCTAATCTGGCCATAGAAATGCAATTGGCTGCCACCACGGAAGGACACCTGTTACCTGGCTATCTTCACAAGCAGGCTGTGATGTGTGGGGGTGTGGGCATGGATGTGGCTACCTAGTAGAGAGGCTGGGCTAGAGAAAAGCTTGAACTGACAGGTACTAGAAGCCCTGTCATCAAGTCTTATTAGCAGTGACTCTTTGGACAGGATGGAAAATCTACTCAGTGGCTGCATGCCTCCATAACAGTGTTTAGTTCCATCTCTAGGAACGATCCTTACAAGGCACCTAGAAGTGAACATTCACACATATGACATCACATGCTTTCAGAACACAACAGAAATGCATACGTATATTCGCCAAAAGATGCATCTGAAAATCTCCCAGCATCGCTATGTAGTAGCCAAAACTAGAAACAACTCACATGACTAGCAACAGTGGAATGCATAAATAAATGTGGTACATTAGCACAATGGAATATTATATGACAGAATGAAGGAACAACATGGTGAATGAATCTCACAAACATAATGGTGAGTGAAAGAAGCCAGATACAAAAGAATATCTACCATAGGATTCCATTTATATAAAGTTCAAAAACAGGCAAAACTAATATATAGTGCAAGAAATCAGAATAGTGTTACCTTTATAAGAAGGTTCTGTGGAGCACTCTGGGAGGCCGAGGTGGGTGGATTGTTTGAGATCAGGAGTTTGAGACCAGCCTGAGCAAGAGCGAGACCCCATCTCTACTAAAAATAGAAAGAAATTAATTGGCCAACTAAAAATATATTTTAAAAAATTAGGTGGGCACGGTGGTGCATGCCTGTAGTCCCAGCTACTCGGGAGGCTGGGGCAGGAGGATTGCTTGAGCCCAGGAGTTTGAAGTTGCTGTGAGCTAGACTCATGCCACGGCACTCTAGCCCAGGCAACAGAGTAAGACTCTGTCTCAAAAAAAAACAAAAAAAAAAAAACGGTGGCTCACGCCTGTAATCCTAGCACTCTGGGAGGCCCAGGCGGGTGGATTGCTCGAGGTCAGAAGTTCGAAACCAGCCTGAACAAGAGCGAGACCCCATCTCTACTATAAATAGAAAGAAAATTAATTGGCCAACTAATACATACAGAAAAAATTAGCCGGGCATGGTGGCGCATGCCTGTAGTCCCAGCTACTCGGGAGGCTGAGGCAGTAGGATCGCTTGAGCCTAGGAGTCTGAGGTTGCTGTGAGCTAGGCTGACGCCATGGCACTCACTCTAGCCTGGGCAACAAAGTGAGACTCTGTCTCAAAAAAAAAAAAAGAAGAAGTTGTTTCTGGGGTACTGATAATATTCTGTTTTTTGATCTGGGGGCTGTTTTATTTTTGTTTTTTTTGTTTTTGTTTTTGTTTTTTTTTTTGAGACAGTCTCACTTTGTTGCCCAGGCTAGAGTGAGTGCCATGGCGTCAGCCTCGCTCACAGCAACCTCAATCTCCTGGGCTCAAGCGATCCTCCTGCCTCAGCCTCCCGAGTAGCTGGGACTACAGGCATGCGCCACCATGCGTGGCCAATTTTTTTCTATATATTTTTAGTTAGCCAATTAATTTCTTTCTATTTATAGCAGAGACGGGGTCGCTCTTGCTCAGGCTGGTTTCGAACTCCTGACCTGGAGCAATCCGCCCGCCTCGGCCTCCCAAAGTGCTAGGATTACAGGCGTGAGCTACCGCGCCCGGCCTATTTTTGTTTTTTTTGTAAAAATTCATCAAGCAGTACATTTACACTTTGTGAGCCTTTATGTTCTACTTCAATAAAAAGTTTATGTTGGCCAGGTGCAGTGGCTCACGCCTGTAATCCTAGCACTCTGGGAGGCTGAGGCGGGCAGATTGCTCGAGGTCAGGAGTTCGAAACCAGCGTGAGCAAGAGCGAGGCACTGTCTCTACTATAAATAGAACGAAATTAATTGGCCAACTAACATATATATAGAAAAAGTTAGCTGGGCATGGTGGCACATGCCTGTAGTCCCAGCTACTTGGGAAGCTGAGGCAGTAGGATTGCTTGAGCCCAGGAGTTTGAGGTTGCTGTGAGCTAGACTGACGCCACAGCACTCACTCTAGCCTGGGCAACAAAGCAAGACTCTGTCTCAAAAAAAAAAAACAAGTTTATGTTGGTTGGGTGTGGTGGCTCACGCCTGTAATCCCAGTACTTTAGGAGACCAAGGTGGGATAATCACTTAAGGCCAGGAGCTCAAGACCAGCCAGTGCAATAGCAAGACCCTGTCTCTACAAAAAAATTTTTAAAAAATAGCCTGGCATGGTGGCACACACCTGTAGTCCCAGCACTTTGGAAGGCTGAGGCAGGAAGATAGCTTGAGCCCAGCAGTATGAGGTT